AAACATGGTTAGAGCCTGCTTTTCTTGACCACTCTAGCAAGCATATGGTTTACACCTACGCCTTCTTCCCTCAATTCCTGCTTCAAACATCCTTTTCGCTCAAGTATTGTCACCATGGATAGTTATCTGTTGAAAGATATAAATGTCGGAATATTTAAAAAAGAAGAAATTAGCAGAAAATAATCAGAACTACTCAATTCATATATAGTTATCGTCTCTAATCATAATTTCTAATGTTTTTGGCAGGGAGATTTTAAACTATACGATATTTAAGGTGTTTATGGCATTGGGTTTAATAATGTAGGTGGATATTGCTAAATTTATGACTAGGTATCAATATTATTTCATTGGAAGAAAGTCTTTTTGGATGTGTGCGAGTTCGAGTAAATATAGGTAGGGTAAATTGAAATTTCCTAGGAGTTTTTTGCACTGCACTTATGTAAATATATATTTATTTATTTATTACAATTATTTATTATTTTTGGTTAAAAGTTTTCAAATTTATTTATTTATTTATTAAACATCTTATAAAATTATCACAATGGTAACACCTAATTTACCTAATTTTTATCTAATTTACCATACCCGAAATTATGGTAAATACCAACATTCGCTGCCGTACCGACAAAATTTACTATTTCCTTCAATTTACCATCAATTTACTTGAACTCGCACACGGTTTTAATATAAATTAATAACTTTATTTTATCATGCATATTTTTATATGAGAAAAATGTACAGTAGAAAGGAAATTATAAGTGTGAAGTAAATAATATAAACAGTAATTATAATTCCGATATGTCCAATAGTTCTAACAAAAATCTTAGAGCGTCACCTAATATATATGAAGAAATGACACCATCTGGTAGCAGCGTTCTGTCAAACATATACATAGATTCTTTCGAAAAATATTGTCACGCATATGGCTTCACACAATGTTTTTCCAGTGACATGTACGAGTATATTACAACATTTTAGTAGTATTTTTTGATCTTTAATCCGATTTTATTATATATCGTTGTCAGTTAATTTTCATTAGATTTTTTTCATAATTCATTTGTTTATTTTTTACAGTAAAATTAGATTATTAAATTTGATCTAATAATTTTTTAGTTTTAATTGCATTAATTATTATTTTAATAAATCGCCTAGGTGCTTGGGAACAAAGTACCGATCATACACTTGTAATCCATAATAAATCAAAAATTCAAAGAACTTATTTAATAATATAATATAACCACGAGTCGAATCATAGTTTGCTGAATAGATAGTAATGATACATATAGTATGAGTAGTATGGTTACAGGGTCGCAAATAGGGTCATAGGTTATAACTCGAGCTTGAACAATCGTGTAGTTTATGTAGTGCTGGGAACCATATTCTACCTTTGTTATTATAAAATCTCTATGTTTTATAAGCACTAATTATACTAATCGGAATGTTTACAAAAAACACAAACCAGAAACAATTTAAATAACTTCTATATAATATATATATATATATATAGATATATTTTTGTAGACATGAAATATATCGAAATGGTAAACAATTTGCTATCCGGAATAAAACTTTTCTGTGGTGCATTTAAGAAAATTTCAAATACTAAGGCTAGAATAAGAAAAAAACAAGAAATGTTTGTAATTATGTTTTCAAAATTTTCAAAATTACTGCGTTTTAATTATTTCCGAGCAAGCAATACCCTGGCTAACGAACAATGCACTCAAAGAACAATGCGACATCGAAATATTTCATTTCGATGTTATTCGATATTTCAACAAAATAGAATCTTTTAAAAATTTTCAAAAATTGTAATTGAAACAAACAGCTTTGCTGGTTGGTAATGCATTTATTTTTCAAAATATATAGTATATATATTATTAATAATATATATAAATATATAGTTTGTATAGAAAAAAAACGGGTTTTTAGAAAGGAATGAATTCCTGGAAACTAACGGTTAGTTTATAATGTCCCTTAATGAAACCCAGTGTTCTTATCTTTTAGAGTTCACATTTCCTTAGTTGTAGTGGATGACTCACTTCGGATGTAGTAGTTGAAGTTAGTGACGATAATTCTTAGTTTCCTTAGTTTTGGTGACCTACAGTTTTGATACTGGATATGATTGTACAGTTACATGCGAAACTTGATCCCCACTATGGCTTGCGTTTATAACATTGTCGGCGTCTGGCCCCGTGATTGTTTCTTTGCTTATTGAGCGATGTCCAACAATAGACATGGTGTCATTTTCGTGGTTGATTGGCGGCTTTTCATACCCATTTTCTTCTTTTACGTGTAACTGTTTTTCTACACCAGTCCTGATTTTGTTTTCAAAGTTTTCAACCATTTTTTGCACTATATCTCCTTTAGCTTTCGATTTATCCGCGTTGCCTTCTAATAAATTAAATATTTTAGTCCGCGTCTCTTGAAAATTAAATTCCCGTTGAAAAGTGATCACAGCTGAATAAAAAAAAAATTATTTATATAAGTTCGATTAAAAAAGGTGGTTTATATACACATATATTTCTGCAAAGGAAGCGTACTGTTGTCATTGAAATTCTCTGGAATTGATTGGAAATAATAATCATCAGCATTGGCATCAGTGGCACCAGTGGTTCTATGTGCTTGATCTGGTTTAATATCAGTTAACGTAGACTTACCTGACGTAAACGTTGCCATTTCGCAAATTTTTGCCAGCGTTTGTTAATTTGCAATCTCAGCGCTATCAATTTGATGTTCCACCTGCTTTTCTATAACCCGGAAACGGGAAGAGATGATTGCTTGTTATTAGAGCCTTTTCCTTTGGTGGCAGCTTCTATTTGTTTCTTATTTCCAATACTATTCGACCATTCCACAATTCGTATTTTGAATTCTTGTTTCCAATTTGTTGTGCAAAAACCAGCAATTTCCGAAAAGAAAAGATTTTTGCACATTACCTAGACCAGCTGAATTTTGATTTTGAGTTAATCCAAAAACTACATATTTTGGTTTTAGTAAAAATTTATTTTTCGACTAAAAAACAAATATTTTTGACATTTAATTAAAAGCTGCTGGGTTGTATTTTTTTTTTGTTACATTTAAGTTAATTCAGCTGAAGTAAGCTCATAATAAATTTACAACTTTTTAATACTAATTATTTGAATTTATTTATTTTCCACGGTAATGGAAGAAATATATCATCTAATGGTTTCTGTTTTGAGATGGATTAGAAATCAGGCCAAACTTTTTAACATAATTGATCATAGCAACCTGTTGTCAGGTTTCGATGTGACGTTGCAGTCCCCTCCTTGGAGTGTCTGCTGTTGCATGTCTTTTTCAGTATTTACATCAAACATGGTTAGAGCCTGCTTTTCTTGACCACTCTAGCAAGCATATGGTTTACACCTACGCCTTCTTCCCTCAATTCCTGCTTCAAACATCCTTTTCGCTCAAGTATTGTCACCATGGATAGTTATCTGTTGAAAGATATAAATGTCGGAATATTTAAAAAAGAAGAAATTAGCAGAAAATAATCAGAACTACTCAATTCATATATAGTTATCGTCTCTAATCATAATTTCTAATGTTTTTGGCAGGGAGATTTTAAACTATACGATATTTAAGGTGTTTATGGCATTGGGTTTAATAATGTAGGTGGATATTGCTAAATTTATGACTAGGTATCAATATTATTTCATTGGAAGAAAGTCTTTTTGGATGTGTGCGAGTTCGAGTAAATATAGGTAGGGTAAATTGAAATTTCCTAGGAGTTTTTTGCACTGCACTTATGTAAATATATATTTATTTATTTATTACAATTATTTATTATTTTTGGTTAAAAGTTTTCAAATTTATTTATTTATTTATTAAACATCTTATAAAATTATCACAATGGTAACACCTAATTTACCTAATTTTTATCTAATTTACCATACCCGAAATTATGGTAAATACCAACATTCGCTGCCGTACCGACAAAATTTACTATTTCCTTCAATTTACCATCAATTTACTTGAACTCGCACACGGTTTTAATATAAATTAATAACTTTATTTTATCATGCATATTTTTATATGAGAAAAATGTACAGTAGAAAGGAAATTATAAGTGTGAAGTAAATAATATAAACAGTAATTATAATTCCGATATGTCCAATAGTTCTAACAAAAATCTTAGAGCGTCACCTAATATATATGAAGAAATGACACCATCTGGTAGCAGCGTTCTGTCAAACATATACATAGATTCTTTCGAAAAATATTGTCACGCATATGGCTTCACACAATGTTTTTCCAGTGACATGTACGAGTATATTACAACATTTTAGTAGTATTTTTTGATCTTAAATCCGATTTTATTATATATCGTTGTCAGTTAATTTTCATTAGATTTTTTTCATAATTCATTTGTTTATTTTTTACAGTAAAATTAGATTATTAAATTTGATCTAATAATTTTTTAGTTTTAATTGCATTAATTATTATTTTAATAAATCGCCTAGGTGCTTGGGAACAAAGTACCGATCATACACTTGTAATCCATAATAAATCAAAAATTCAAAGAACTTATTTAATAATATAATATAACCACGAGTCGAATCATAGTTTGCTGAATAGATAGTAATGATACATATAGTATGAGTAGTATGGTTACAGGGTCGCAAATAGGGTCATAGGTTATAACTCGAGCTTGAACAATCGTGTAGTTTATGTAGTGCTGGGAACCATATTCTACCTTTGTTATTATAAAATCTCTATGTTTTATAAGCACTAATTATACTAATCGGAATGTTTACAAAAAACACAAACCAGAAACAATTTAAATAACTTCTATATAATATATATATATATATATATAGATATATTTTTGTAGACATGAAATATATCGAAATGCTAAACAATTTGCTATCCGGAATAAAACTTTTCTGTGGTGCATTTAAGAAAATTTCAAATACTAAGGCTAGAATAAGAAAAAAACAAGAAATGTTTGTAATTATGTTTTCAAAATTTTCAAAATTACT